CCCACAGAGTCTGTGGAGCGCGCGCTGCCCGCCTCCGCCTCCGCCCCCGCCCCACCCACCTCCGCCTCCAGGCGACGGATCGTCACCGGCGAGGACTCTGCAACACCACATCTCGTTATTCTGAACATGTTAGAACCAAGAAATCCAAAAGCTTCCGAACAGAACAAACAAGTGAAGTCCCTTGCTTGACTAAAATTACCTCATTTTTGAACAACCTCAAAGTCTCACCTGAATGATTCTGAATATTTCTCGTAAAGCAAAGTTACAAAGAAGTCTTTACTGCATGCACCGAGTGACGCATTTCAAAGTTAATCACATAAATGCCCAAAGTTAACGTTATCACATGAAATAAAACCACAACTGGATACTTGCACAAAATGACGAACACGGTTAGATAAACAAAACAAGTATGTGGTATATGTAAAGTTAAAACATTGCGATGCTAATATTCATTACAATTAAATTTGACAAATCATGATAAATTTAACTTGTATATGGAATGTACATGAACAACCCGCGAGGGGGGACGTGCGGGGACGTGCGGGGACATGCGGGGCAGGAAGAGGCTCACCGCGCCGCGCACCCTCGCGCCCCGCCCCCACCAGCCCCCTGCAGCTGCGCTCTATCACACCTGCACACAGCCTCCGGTCAGCCTCGTCTTGTCCGTTACATTGCCCGATGCATTATTAAAAGTCCTTCTATATTTTGGATGACCATTGAAATGCACCAAAAACCAAAAAGTGTCTCTAACTATCACCTTTTCTCTATTTTTTGTATTTATCCGTTTGATCATTTTTTTGTTTGTTATCTGCATCTAGAAAAGTGATCGTGAGCGTCCCCATCTGTGGCCAAACATGGTAAATATAGTAGACTCTCACCGAGGTAGTCGACGATGGCGCGCAGGGTGAGGTCGCGCGTGCGTTGCGTCATCGCGTCGAACCGCGCCCGGTCCTCCTCCCGCACCTGCACGTGCACAGAGCAGTAACATGTGAGACAATGTCTGCAGGGACATGTAACAGTGGCTAGCCAGCAATGAGCAGTAGCAAACGGAATGTGCGACCTGAGCGCGCAGGGCGTCCATCTCAGCGAGCAGCGCGCGCAGCTGGCCGGCCACGCGGCGCGCGTGCGTCTGCTCCGCGCGCAGCCGCCGCGTGTCCCCGCTCTCGCCATACTGCATACAAACATTACATTCCATTATTTTAATATAATTCATTTCAATACAACAAAAGGTGGGCGGGCAATTAACTTGTTAATCGTTCATTGATGAATTTAATATTTGTTAACTAACGGATTAACTTTTAAATTAACTTCAAAAAGTGTTAACGCTTTTGTTAACTTCCGTTATATTCAACTTCCGTTATTTTAGTCCGTTAATTGTTAACATTAGGTACTTGGTGATGTACTCTCATTTTGTTTAAATTACGCGCCAGGTCGCGCTTGTGAGTCCGGCTATGTTCGGCAATTGCTAGCGAGCCTTACGGTGACCGAACTAATTGATAATTGATGTTTTTGAAGTGCCCGTGCAAATATAATAATGCATATTCCATCTGTTATTACTGACTTTGGAATGTTATTTATGTGCAAAAAAATAGTTTACCATAAATAAATATTTAACATTGTGTGGAATTAACATAATATCAATTGAAAAAGTTAAGATGAACATATAATATATTTAAAAAACTAAAGGTTTTCACTTGAATTTATGTATATATTGTATAGTATGAAAATTAGCAATAGTCTTGTACACATATTGCTTGCCAATAAATATATATAGGTAAATTACTGTGTGTCTATGTCACATTTCCATTGTGTAGTATTTAAGTGACATTTGCACGGATATGGATTTATAATTAGTGCCCTATATGACCTATTGAATGTGTCTGATGTTTTGCTATGTAATTGTAAACAACACATATAAGTTGGGATAATTTTTTAATGAACAAAATTAATTTGTTTGCTGCGCACATGAAATATTCTGTATTATATTATGAACTTTACAAAACAGTTCGACTACAAATTTAAACAAAAAACTTTATAAACAAAGAGCTTTATATGCAACTGTCATTTATTACTAGTATTTGAATGTTGCACATGAAATAATCTCAGGACAAGTTTAAGCGAAGCCCTCATGGAATTAACTTTTAAAAATATAAATAGTTCATTCATTTTTTTTCACGAAAAAACAACAAAGTTAAGACACGTGCCAGAATTTGCGTCAGAGATTGAAACTCATAATTACGACATAACAAAGTTTATTTTTAGTAATAAAAACCTGTTACTGAAAAACTGTATTGTATTTCACAATAGTACAATTTTTGTAAATGCTTTAGTTTCATACGTAAGATATTCAATTAAATATATAAAAAAATAATACCTCGTCATATATTGTTACCTTGATGATGTTAGTTTTGTGTTGTCGCAACAAATCCAAGTGATGAGGGATTGCTACTTCGTTAAATTTTGTTAGAGAAAGCTCCACTCGTTTTAAGGATAGTTTGCCAGCTTCTTCCATGTTAGACAATTATAGAAAGTGTTCAAATTTATTAGCAAAACATCATCAAATTGAGTTACATTTCATATCTACATATTTCTAATACTGTTTTTGTTTGGTTGATTTAAAGTTTGACAGTGACAGTGACAGTGAAAGGGATTTGCTAGGGATTGGGATTCAGCATTCAGCGCAGTTCAGCGTATCAGGTCAGGCATACCTGAGCCATTCTGAGCCACTCATAAGAGGCTCAGAATGGCTCAGATAAAAAATAGACTTTGTACCAACTTTATACTTTTATACACTTGATTTCATGTACTTGTATGGTAGGTATAAGGTTAGGGTGGGATTTTAAAACCAGGTGTATCATAGGTGTTTCATGAATTATATCGACACAAAAATCGTATAGTTCGTATTCCATTGTTTTGATTGATCCCAGAATCCCAATGTCTAACATTCAAAGAGAGATTATATAAAATTAACATTTTTTAAATTCGATGAAATATTAATACATACATATCTTTTATATACTCTTTGACTACTATCGCTGTCCTCTCAAACTCCAAAGTTATAAAATATAATAAACATTTTCCAAATAAGATATGAACTAAAGGTCTATGTTACCAGGTCATAAAATAAAAAAAAAATCTTCTCAAACTCCTTGTCTTTGAATAGTGTTGAAGACCAAGAGCATATTTTATATACTCTTTGACCAAGAGCATCTATAGATTTAAGCAAAAGTCAAGAAATTTGTGTTTTTCTAATTTAATGACTTTATGATATTTTTAAATAATGCATTAACCTATCACCATGATTATATTATAGTGTAGATGTATTTGCGTAAGTAGACTATTTGCAGGCTGCGTTATTAGGCGCAGTTACAATAAATTAGCAATGGATGTTGAAACAGGTTAGATTTCCGAATTATCCGGAATTCTTTTTATTTTACGATTGTTTCTTTACGAATGATGCGTGCCTAAAGTACCAAGCATATTGTTAACTACTAAAGTTACTGTAACTTAATTGCATAATATTTAAGTCATACTATTGTACCGTAGTCTAGTGTTTTTCTGTGTCTGGTGAAACGGAATTTCAAATATTTATAAAAATCGTTATAAATATGTAAGTCCAATAATTTGGATTAATTTGGCCGACGAATTTATAAGTTCAACATATTAAAAGAGGGTATGTTACTTATACTTCTAGCAAATGTAAAACATATGTTCATTGGTTAATACCTTAGGTTGTGTCGTTTAAGAAAAGAAAGATATTAAAACTGGATTAAATCAATTGTGAATACCATGTCCTTGTTCACTTTTTTACATATTCTTAAATTCATTATAACTTTTCATCATTGCTAGTTGTTTACCTCTTTAGTTGTTCTGAGTTGTTAGTGAAGTGGACATGTAATCATTTTTAATTTGTCTGTTCCTGAAAAAAAGAATTAAATTTATTAAAAAACTTCTTTTTTTACTTTAGTAATAATTCATAATTGATTAATTGCTTTATTTATCAATATTGTATTGCAGATGGAAGGAATTCCCGATCCCGCAGCCCTTCTGTAAGTATTTTAATTAACATTGTTTAGTATTATTGTAGAACTGAACAAGTAGTGGTTAAGTTATCCTGTTTTTACATTGTTTTTGCGAAGTTTTTGTGAAACTACTTTTCATTATCAACACCTCATACTTAAAAATGATCTATTCTGTGACCCTCCGCACATGTCTGCTTACTAGACATGGCTAATAATAGCTTTATCCATTTCTTCCCTTTGATTACTTTAACTGTGTCAAATTACATATTCAACTAAAAGCACAATTTCCTTAGAAAGGGGTCTAAAGTTATCACTTTACCTAATTATAATATGATATTATTATTTATTATAATTTTATAATAAAACAGTTGGTATATTTATTTATCATTAGAATAGAATGTACAAGTTGTCAAGATGAGAGACAAGAAGCAAGCAGACATTCATGGTATGAAGGATTAACTAATGCTGATATTATTTGGCTAGTCCGGTGTCAACCTAACAACTTTTCTCTTGTTTTTCTGCTCATTGTACAAGAATATAATGTTCTGTTTGTTAACTTTACCAGATAGCGTCGGAGTCGAAGATGTCGCGCGGCACTTCTCGCTCCCGTTCCCGCTCCCGGAGTGCATCGTCCAAAAATAGGTCCCAAAGCGGATCTCCGGCCAAATCTAGATCTAGATCCAGAAGCGGTTCGGCGAGATCGCCATCGAGGAGTAAATCTAGATCGAGGAGTGGTTCGGCTAGATCGAGATCGAGGAGCAAATCTAAATCTAGATCAAGGAGTGGATCGGCTAGATCGCGATCGAGGAGTAAATCTAGGTCGAGAAGCGCTTCGATAAGATCGAGATCTAAAAGCGGCTCGCCTGCTAAATCGAGAAGCGGTTCCGAAGCTTCGCGATCTAGGTCTAGGTCGCGAAGCGGATCACCAGCTAAATCTAGGTCTGGAAGTGTCACCCGTAAATCCAAGTCGCGCAGCAGATCTAGGTCAAGAAGTGGATCTGCAAAATCTAGGTCCAGATCGAGAAGTAGATCCGGCAGCGGGTCCCCGAGACGATCTCGATCCAAAAGCGAGTCTCGGGATAAGTCTCTGGAGACTTCAACAGAATCTAAGCCAAGGAGTAGCAAGTCTCCGAGCAAGTCACCTGTCAAATCCAAATCCATAAGTAGATCTCCTGGAGATGGCAAAGCGAGAAGCAAGTCACCTGAGAACATGGACGTGGATGAAGAAGAGCCTCGAGGTGAATGTTGACATTGTCCCATGTTGGTGTACAACTTAATGTGAAGCTTTGAACATTGTGCTATACTTTCATTAATACATGTTGCTTTGGAAGTAACAATTGTCGTTACAAAAATATTATAATATTATATTAACTTTTTGCCAGAGTATCTCTAGAAACCTTTGAAATTTATATGTGTAACAAATTTAAAATATTTAATCGAATATTTCAGGTCGAAAGAGAAAACGCTCGGGTTCCGGTTCTGACTCGCCCGACAAAGCGCGCGTGAAACACTCAAAATCACGTTCCAAATCCCGGTCTAGATCTCGCTCAAAGTCCCGATCCAAATCTCGCTCCAAGTCTCATTCCAAATCCCGTTCTAGATCGCGATCCAATTCACGATCTAGATCTCGATCCAAATCCCGTTCAAAGTCGAGATCTCGATCTAAGTCTGGATCCCGCTCCCCGGCCAGGCTACGAATACGTTCGCTATCTAGATCCCGCTCCAAATCTGTATCCAAGTCTCGCTCTCGATCAAAATCACCGGCCAAGTCACGGTCGAGGTCCAAATCTCGCTCCAAGTCACGGTCGAGGTCCAAATCTCGCTCCAAGTCACGGTCGAGGTCCAAATTTCGCTCCAAGTCACGGTCGAGGTCCAAATCTCGATCCAAGTCACGGTCGAAGTCCAAATCTCGATCCAAGTCACGGTCGAGGTCCAAATCTCGCTCTAAGTCACGGTCGAGGTCCAAGTCACGGTCGAGGTCCAAATCTCGGTCCAAGTCACGGTCCAGGTCCCGATCCGGCTCGGCCAAGTCGCGGCGCTCGCGCTCCCGCTCCGCCAACTCACGCTCCAGGTCAGTGGCCAACAGTAACAGGAACAAAGTTTGTAATATTCAATGTGGATACTCTCGTCACTCTACGTCGGTGTGTTCAGATTCTTTATATGTTTTATGTTTTTCAGATCGCGTTCGCGCTCGGGCTCCGCGTCCCCGTCACACAGAGGTTATTTTATCTTTAATTTTAACTAACCGGATAACATTATACACGCGAAATGATAACCACGATATTGCTACAACTTTCCAGTTGACAAGAAGCGTCGCGCCGTGCGCCTGGAGTCTGACGACGAGGGGGAGGTCGGGGGCGAGGGCGGGGCGGAGGGCGAGCAGGCCGCCCCCGCCCCCGCCTCCGCCCCCGTCCCCGCCGCACAGGACTCCTCCGACGACGACGTCGCGCCAGACCTCAAGAGGTGAGTGCACTCGGAGCGGGGCTACCCCCGGGACCACCTCCGGGTGTAGATGTCTGAAGTTGACGTATGCGGCAGCTCGGAGGCGGCGGGTGGGCTGTCGGACTTCGAGGCGATGCTGGCCCGCAAGCGCGAGGAGCGCCGCGGTCGTCGCCGCCGCAGGGACATCGACATCATCAACGACAACGACGACCTCATCGCGCACCTCCTGCAGCAGATGCGCCAGGCCGCCGAGCAGGACCGCGACCTCAACCGCAAGAACCAGCCCGCCGTCAAGAAGGTGCGCCCTCCCTGCCCCACCCCGCCCCACCACGGCCCACCCCGCAGCTAACGCCGCACCCTCCATGCGCAGGTGTCCATGCTGAAGGCGGCCATGTCGCAGCTCATCAAGAAGGACCTGCAGCTGGCGTTCCTCGAGCACAACGTCCTGAATGTGCTGTGCGACTGGCTAGCGCCCATGCCCAACCGTGCCCTGCCCTGTCTGCTCATCCGCGAGAGCATCCTCAAGCTGCTCATGGACGTGAGTGTCTCCTACCTCCCCAAGACCCCCACCCCCGCCTGCGCTTGCCGCTAACCACGTCCCGCGCGTGCTCGTTGCAGTTCCCGTCCATAGACAAGTCGCTGCTGAAGCAGTCGGGCATCGGCAAGGCGGTGATGTACCTCTACAAGCACCCCAAGGAAACCAAGGCCAACCGCGAGCGCGCCGGCCGCCTCATCTCTGAGTGGGCGCGCCCCATATTCAACCTCTCCACCGATTTCAAAGGTAACCGCTACGCTACTGCGCGCTACGTACTACGCATTACGTACTGCGCGCTATATATAGCGCGCTACGTACTGCGCGCTACGTACTGCGCGCTACGTACTGAGCGCTACATCTAGCGCGCTACGTACTGCGCGCTACGTACTACGCATTACGTACTGC